CCTGGTTCCTTGAGGAGCTGTGTTCCCTTTGACTTTGCTTGGAGCGCCGGGTGGATGCTCGGTATTTCTGAAACACAGAAACTAATAAATGACAGCCTCTGTCAAAGCTATTAGTTACAACCACTGTGTGTGGGTGGGTGTGCTTGTGTCACTGTCAGACTTTTGTATTTCTCAATCATTGTTAATTCCCATGGTGTTTAGAGAGAACCAGTTACAGGGCATGCTAATTTATTTTCTCCCTTATACTAATTAACTCTTATCCTAATGGTCCCTTAATATTTCATTCTTGTATTCAAGCTACTAATGTGGTCATACTTTTCATAGTAGGTAATAGTCAGAGAGAGTTAAAAACAGAGAAAGAAGTAGCCAAAATTATGTTTCTGATACCAAACACCAGTGAATGGCTGCCCTGCAATTAGTGGAAAACAAAGAGCTATACATTGCTTGGGGTGAAATTTAGATCATACTTGTCATTAGACATTTTTCATTTCCAAACTTCTTCCTTTCTAAACAATGACTTAGTGCTTCAAAAATTAGTTGAGGCTTTTTATGCGTGTAAATGTTGCCCTTGATCGCCCTGTGTTTCAGCCTCTAAGCTATGAAAATCTTCCCCATCTTTCAAATACTGCAGAGACAGACACAGATCTGCTGTGGTAAACACCAAGGAAAAACCTATAAAGAAATAAATCATTCCCTATTCAGAGAAAATGCAATAAAGTAACTAAGATGGGAGCCACACTCTGAATGAGGAAGACAAAGCCAAATGTTTTATAGTTATATTATTTCCAGAGCGTGGTCAACCTGTGACTAAATGACTCGGGAGTACCGTGGAGAAAGGAGTGTATGTGACTGAGGACTATGCTGTAATACACACACAGAAGGGAAATTTAATTTGAGCAGTAGACTTAATATTATTTTTTTAACTTCTGAGTGCCTGACCTTGCAACCTAAACAACATTTTTTAACTTAATCTGTTTGGTATTTCTGAATGCACACATACTGAAAGTAAATCAACCCCTCGCAAGTCTCAGAAATAATTTAAGGAAAAATATTCATCTGATGAGTTTTTATCTGTTTAGATACCTTGAAATGAATTTAATTGGTTTATCAAAAGCAGGAATAAGAATATATCGTTTTATTTCTGAAAAAGGAAAGAGGTCATATAAGTGCTTCTTAGTTGTATTTTATGTAATCTAGCCAAACAGTTATATATGCAGATTTTGTCTCCTTGGGGTGCTGAATCAAAACCCCAAGATTATTCTTACACCTCCTGATCCATATCCTCTTATGTCAGTGAAAACCTCCACATGCAACTGCTCAGAGTGTGTGTTCGTTTCTGGGCTCACACTGCACAGACCCCCTGAGATGTCCAGGGGTCTGCACATCTCACCCCCCCCCAGGCCACAGCATTCGCACCTCTCCTGACTCATATCGCATTTTCCCATGGGATTGAGACCCCTACTTACAGAGGAGCGTTCCTTCTGTACCTCTGTGATCCACACCTGGCACAGTCCTATGGGACAACCTGCATTGGACAGAGGACATCATCCTTGCCATCAGCGGGCTAGAGATTGACCAACGTACCAGTCCTGGCATTGCCATGAGAGGTTACATGTGAACATCGGTGCCTCCTTCTCCCTTCCATGCAGCTGTATTCCCAGACCTCTCAGCACTCACACCGGGGAAGCCTTCTCCCTGTGATGACTTTGGATTTGGTGACACTGGTGTATGAAATGGGCTCACAGCTTTGGCATACTGGCTCTGTGTGAGGCAGAAAACAGGCTCTGTTCTTGAATTTGATGGAAATCTATTTTGGGTCCCAAGACCTAAAACTTCCCTTTTTTGTGTCCTGTCTCACAGGTAGACGTTACGTCTGTGCACAGTCCCGCAGGACTGCCTTGGATGAGACTTGTACAAGCAGCTGCAAATAGCAAGGAGCAGAACTTGGAAGCTTACTTAGAAAACAGTCAATTATATTATCGCTCTACCAGGAAAATCAACAAAAATGAGGAGCTGCTTGTCTGGTATGATGAGGAGCTTTCCAGCCTCTTGGGTTTCAATGAGATAAAAGCTCAGAGTCCCCAGAATGGTAAGTACTAAATTGTTGACTGCAGGGGTCACTGAGGGCTGAAGTGAGTCTGCAACTTCTTTAGTATGTGGTGATCTTGTGATACAGGAAATAAAACCTGCCTAAATCCTTAGCTGGTAGGCTAAAAGAAAAGACCTTCTGCTTTGGGAATTGAGCTGGAGGCATAGAGCAAGAACAAATTTAGAGTTCTCAATGCCATTTTCATTGCTACTTTCCAGCAGAGGATGGTGCACTAGGGATTAATGCTGAAATTTTTGAGCTGTGTAATGGACGTCTATAGACCTGACTACCTTGGAATCCTAAAAGCCTAAAATATCAATTGGAAATACGTCTTTTTAGCTCATTGAGGAATCAGGTATAGGCTAGTGTTCAGCTTTAATCTTGTAAATGAGCAGGGCTGTAAAAAATACGTAACAACCCAAACAGTACTGCGTACAGCACAATCTGCCTATTTAGCTTGGGACACAGTGGGAGCAAGGAAAAGGGCATGATTTTCATTCTGAGGTATTGCTAGGAATTTATTGCTGTAAAAGAAATTGAGTTGGCAATTGTTGAAAAAATAAAAATCGAGATTATGGAGAGACCAAGCAAATCACTGTCAGGTCCATGCCAAGGTTGACTCCAGCTGTCATTTGCTCCAAACTTTGATCTAGTTAGACTGGAACAAAACCCTCTCTACATTCCCTTTGGTTGATTTAAACACAGCTGATATAACTTGGTTAGTAAAGGTGTAGGTTGGTAAAGGTAGGAGTTTGTAAATTTATATGATAATGTACTTGCCTGTAAATTAATATTAAATTAATATAGACACAATCATAGCAGGAACCCACTAACTTGTGTTAACTGATTTCAGCGTATTCTGTTAGCTTCTGTGTAGACACACGCTGTCAGCCCTATGAATTTACCAGGCCAAAGTGTTATCTACACAAGAAACACTATATCTAGACTCAAGACTTTAAACTAGCAGGAATAATGTTCCACCCAAATCAGCAGCCTTATTTTCTTATAAAAAGTTCAGTTTCTGTAGTTTGGGAAGTGATCTAAGCTGTGCTGAACCTACAAATTAGGGATTTGTAGTTCTACCCAACCAATGTATGAACTTTCCTATGTATCCCAGGCCCCATGTGCTGTCTGGCATCATTTGCATTTGAAAACTGCTGTGTGTTGTGAAATAACATAACATGGATACTGCTTACAAAGGTTAAGATGTGTCATGTGTGTCTTGGTCACTGAATTATGTACCGTCTGTTCATGGGCAATCAATCACCCCAATGAACCAGAGATGCAGTACATCCGAAGGCCAGAAGGAAACAGTGTCATGCCAATGCATGTTCCCCATTCCTCTTGCTCATCGCTGGCATTATTTCACTTCGAACGTTATTTTCTGTGCCACAGGCACCTGTGCCTTGAGGCATACAGCAGTTTGCCAAATAAGCATGAGTAAGGGCTTCAGGCATTATCATCAGATGATTTGTGAAAAGTATGAAACTTCTAGAGTATCCTATGCAGAAAATAGAGGCTCATGCCAAAGTCTTTGAGTCCAGGTCTAAACCACATTATTACTTGGGTATATAGAATTTAACATTCAGCCTACATTAAAGCCAGTGACTTAGGAGATGTAGACCCAAATCTGGGTTCAGATTTCAAATTGTCATAAAGTCCATGTGGTTTTATCTAGACCATTGTGTACTGGCCATTTTACGTCACACAAACTTGGCTTGAGAGTCTAAATGAAAGCGTTTCTGCAAGTAGCACATGGAGTCAAATATGGGTGAACCATTTTCCATAGAAGCAAGGGGCCTGATTCTGCACTGGCATTGGCTTTACCATGTGTAATCTTGTATGACACAAGAAATGTTTCTGGGTTTGTTGTTTGTGGCAATGACAGGGTCAGGATCTGCCCATGATTCTAACTTTGCAAAACTCATCATCTGTTGTCTGTTTCTGCAGAATTGAGATGTCAAGAATGTGACCGAGTCTTTAAATGCGAGCATTCCTATCTCTCCCATGTCCGCTTCCTATGTGTCCCAGAGAAGAGCGCCCTGCTATGGAGAAACCTCCAGAACCCTAAGACTGAAAAAAGCAACTTAGCTGAGCAGGCCACAAATTTCCACAGTCTGGCAAGGGATCTAGAGGTCAAAATGGCAGCTTGTAAAGATGATGCCCATGGTCTCACAGGAGAAAAGACAGCAAAATCTGAAGAGGCTGAGAACAACAGGAGCAGGAAAACAGTGTTGTTGGAGAAAACCAATAATCTGAGTGAGGAACAGAACTGTGGGGGCAAGGAGGAGGTTGGGGGAGAGCATGCATTGGCTGGTTCTTTCTGGAAGCTTAGTTCAGGGAGGCAGTCAGCTAGGAAGGATGCTTTAGAGCAGAAGCAGAGCGCTTTCACTGAGGTCAGGAGGATGAAGGAGAAGCTGAGGAATGAGAGACCGAAGGAGCCAGAACAAGAGGATGGCACGGTCCCACTTGGTAAAGAGCAGGTATCAAAGGAAGTGTTGCTGAACTCCTCCGGTAGTGCATTCTCCTTTGTGTGGCCCACCAGAGCCCGAGGAGAACAGAAGAGTGCTTTCAGCAAACCCACTAAGTGTCTAACAGAAAGAGCTGCAATAAATTCTTCTCATCCCATAAGTGAGTCACCAAAGAGCCTGGGGGAGCTGTCTGGCTTCATTGCCACCACAGACATCATGTGCTGCAGCACTCTTCTCAATTCCAAGTTCTTTGTCAGTGATTTGTGTAATGCTCAGATGCTGCAGACAAGCATCGCTCAGAGCAATGTTTTCCCATATACCTCAGAACCGTGGCCCAAACAAGCAGGAGGACAGTTACAAAACACAACCACCACGTCTTCTTCCTCCTCCTCCTCTTCCTTGACTCTTCTTCCCCCCACCTTCACGTCCTTTGGAGTGGCTGCCCAGAACTGGTGTGCCAAATGCAACCTGTCCTTTCGCATGACATCCGATTTAGTCTTCCACATGCGGTCACATCACAAAAAAGAATACTCCTCAGCTGAATCCCAGTGCAAGAGGAGACGAGAGGAGAAGCTAACATGTCCCATTTGTCATGAGTACTTCCGAGAACGCCATCATTTATCCCGGCACATGACTTCTCATAATTAGAGCTGCACAGACAGATCTCACCAAGGGACTGGGCAGGTTGGGTAAAGAAGGGGAACATAGTTCACTTGTATCCATTTCTTTTTGAGTTTACATGAATTTCTTACAGGAAATCACTGTTTACAATAATTTATAATAGATGCTTTGCAAAAAAATATAAAATGTTTACAGGAGTCTGAGTTGGTTGTAAGTTTTGAAAACTCAACCTAGCCTTTGTCAATCTATTTTTGAGGAAATAAAATAGTGAAATGAATGCACATGCAGTATTAATTTGCAAAGAATTGGGAACAAAATTATTGTTTTGCAGAGTTTTCTTTGCTTGTATTTGATTTGCTGGTGTCTGTGCAGTACAATGTAAATACAGAAGTAACAACCACCTCAGTGAATGAGGAATGTTTAAACACTAAAAAAATCAGAGCTTATATGCTAAAAGAAAAGAAGTTACTGTTTCTAGCAGCTTTGGTGGACTCTTACTCCTTTATGTTAGCTGAATCAGCTCTCTTATCAGATTTGTGAGTCTGAGTAAAAAACTTATATCTCACTGTCTCCTTGGCTTTGAAAGGGACTTGAAGTTAAGACTCTGTCTGAAATCTGTGATCGTCAACAGACCAATAGACTGCCAAAGAGGATGTGATTTGTAAATCAGTATGTCTGAGTTCTGTTCTAGGCTCTGCCAATTTTGAGGTATCTTTTACAAAGTCAAATCAACCTGGATCTGTATCAAAATGTGACCTGTTGTCAACGTCATTGTGTAGACAAGGAGCACAAATTCTGCCCTGATGCGTGCTTTAGTAGGCGTACAGATCTGATGGGGGTAGAGTTTGGCCTGTAGTTTTCAGGTTTTGGATATACTAAAAAAACCAAGTAGGGTATTTGAGTTACTATTAGCTATAGAATCTGCACACTTTAATTGTGGATGATATGCTCTGTTCTGCTAACAGCTAGAAGAGGAATGTCCTTCCCAAAATGACACGGGCATACATGAATTGCATTGCATTAGACCAGCTTGTTTATTCTCTGGTTTCTGCATGGGCCAATTCCAGCTTTTTTGTTAAAGAAGGTGCCAAATTCTCTCTATAGCCTGTCCATATGAGACATTTTCCTCTTGCCTACTTTGGTTTGAGCTCTGCTTAGTCTCAGAAGGAGATGAGTTTATACTGCTCTGGGTGTGTGTCAGGGAAGCAAGAATCCTGTCCGTTGTTACTACAGCTCATCTAATTAGCCTTTCATTACTCTTTTAATCCATATAGGGGCTTGCTCTTGATAGCTTATGACAACATATTCTTCAAGCGAGCATTTCTCTCTCTCTTGTATAGTATTTTTTCAGGTTGTCTGATGTTTTTGTGGCCTGTCTCTGAGCCTCATCTACTATGATTCCCTTTCAGATAGAGAATGATCAGGAACCGCTCATTTCCCAGCTAAGAGTGAAGGACATTGCAATATGCTCCTTATTATTTTCCACCATACTGATGATATAGTTCAGTGTTTGTCTGCTGCACACTGGACAGAAGTTTTCTTGGAGTTCACATGATGCCTGGGCTGATAGTGCAAGTATCAGCAAGTAAACACATCTGAGTGATAAAAGACAGCCTGAGAGTCAGCCTGTCAGTTGGGATCAACATATTACACTCATTGTCATCTCTTGGGAGATTTCTGTAAGTCAGGAGACTGTATTCTTCCCAATATATTGCTGTTGAACATTAATACGTGGCTGTTTCCTATTAGCATAGACATTTGACTTATTGCAGGCCAACCACTGGCTGTAGACCCCAGCTTTATTTTCCCAACATAAAGTGATTAAACTGTTACATTATGCCTTTGAGTTCAGAAGACATAAATTGAGACTGGAGGTCTGGTTGGATTGTAACACAGCTTTCCAAGGTCAGTGGTGGAAGCTCTTTCACTGGAGTCATTAAAAACTGAAATGAACAAAAGCTTTGAAACACGGAGCACAGGGAACAACCTTGCATTGAGTAGGGGATGATGTGGTTTCCTTCTAATCTTTCCATCTCTATTTTGTGTCCAATAACATTTACTGTGTAAGGAATATATTTATGGCAAGGTTTAATGGGCCAAATTTCACTCCATCTGGTTTTATCTGGGTGCCAGCCAGTTTACTGTAAAGTCAGTGTCCATAAAGTGTAATGAAGGACTCCATGGTGTAACTGCATTCATATGTGGTTAGGGTTATAGTTCCCATTAGTACTTTAGGCCAGATTGTGATCTCATTTATTCCAGTGCAAATCCAGAATAATTCCATGTTACTACTCCTGATTTACCTCAATTACTTTAAGATCAGCCTGGCCCAGTATAAATAAGCTTAAAAATTTTTTGGTACCATTGCTGCAAAATGTTCTGTTCTGTACTTGCTGAAAGATGCCATGTTTTCTTAACAGTTTTGTGGTTAGAAACCTAGCTTCAGATTTCTTCTGGAAAAAGACAAGACCAGCTGTGTAATGCTCCCCAGTATTATGTTGGCGCATCGCTTCAACATTACCCTGCTCCAAGGGCCTGTTTTTCCAGTGCGCTACACCTGGCCTGTCATTTAGATCAGAATGAAGCAGTACCAAATCTAACCAGTACATGTTTTCACTGATTTTGTGTTGGTGTAAGTGACCTTGAGAAAGTGTGGAAAATCAGCCACTGATAAACAGCTGCTGAATCTCAAAACCTCTTCCAATGGTGTGTTATATCTACATCCTTACGAGGTCTCAGCAGTAATCAAACTTCCTCACTCTGCTTATGGTATGAGGCTTAAGCAAGCAGCAAGGCTACAGGGAGAGAGAGAGAGCATTCCTTTATGTCATGAAGTTGTTTTCTTTCTGGGGGGGGGAAGGTAAGAACTCTTACCCAGTTTCCTTGTGGGCATATCTCAGCCACAGCAATTTACATACTGTGATGACAAGCAATGTATAAATGCCTTCTGTGCACAGAAAGGCAAGAGAACCAGTTACGAAAAGTGGCAGAGCTGATTCAAAATGCAAAAATGAAGAGGAGAGGTTTTTAATCAGCTTTATTTCTGGTATTGTCCTCACCTCCTCCAGCTGCAGGGGCAGCACAGTTTGGTCCTAGCATGTAAAGATTGGGGATTTTCCTCTTGCAACGTGGAAATCACACTGCAGGCAAATGTGTGCAATACTGCCCTTGCTCCTTTGTGCCACTGGCATAAAAATCGAGTGAACAAATTGCTTGTTACACTCGACTAAAGTGTTTTGTGAACTAGGACTTGTTTACACACACACAACTGACCAATATGACACCTTGTTGCCTGCTACACCTGTGCTGACATCAGAGCAAAACAGCATAGATGCCAAGAGAACCAGAACTAGATTCCCTATGTGTAAAACAAGCTCTTGTGTAAAGCCCCTTGTGCAGGCAGAGGGAATGCCTTTTATGTGTCTCAAGTCTAACTGAGTGTCTCATCTAAGGTGGGTTACATAAACCAGGGGGGCTTATCCAAAATTTTTGCAGATTGTATTTCTTTAAACGAAAATATTCATATTAAAGCTGAATGAACCAAATATTGCACAGGCAGAAGGAAGCCTAACAAGACAAAGAAAAACAAACTTCCTATAATTGAGGAAGCTTTTTTCCCCTTATGTCTAGAAGTCTGAACGTTTGAATTGGTGCAGATGAAAGGAAATCCTGCTGGAGGAAATGCACTCCACTAGAGCAGGGGGTTCGTGAAGAAGTGAAGGGACGTAAGGAATTCATGAAGGACTGCATTCCGTCCCAGTGCAATACTGTGATTTTACAACAGGGATCTATGTCTTTTCTACAAGTAGAAATGCTCGGAAGAAAAAAAAATAGGATTTTGTTTTTTAAAATGCAAGGAGACAATTTGAAATCAGCTGGCTGGGTTTTTTTCCTGTCTTTGCTAGCAACTGCCTGTGTCATTTTGATCAAACCACTGTTTCTCACAACATCTGTTTCTGGATCAGTGAAAAGGGATGTAACACAATGCTGTCAAGCTTAGCTGTGCAGGCTGTGTTTCTGCAGTGGGTTGTGAGTTTACTGACAGGGAATGCCAGGTTAGGATACTTGTTCACTCACTGATCCCTCAACTTTTTCCAATGAAGATGTGTTTCTCCATCGAAACGGCACTCATATGCTTTTGAAGAATATACATTTACTTGCTTTTTTGGGGGTAATTTTTCACTAATCGATGTGGTCTGTGGGCTCCCATTGGTCTACAAAGCACAGTTTGAAAATCACTGGACTAAGGCAGCTTTTGTGGTATGATCAAGGAAGACTACATTAGAATCACTCTCCGGAGAGCAAGAATGCATCATTTTGTAGCAAAAAAAAAGAATAATCTGGCTGCCATTTCTTGGTCAGAGTTCTGTGAATACTAAAAGGAGAAAGATTATACTGCTAGGAGGCCTGATACACCAACTCCTTTCTTCCTGTCTTTAAAAGGAACATGATTAGGATTGAACTTTATGAAGTTATTCTAGATGGGATGGGATGGAAATGGTGCTATAAACTGTTGAATGCCCATGTCAGCGCTGGAACCAGAAGAGAGAAGGGTGGCAGTTTCAGCATGTTTGCTGTTGTGTTGTGGAAGGCCACTTCTGAAATTGCTTGTCCCTCCCTAAGAAAACTTCTGTCTAACCTTCTCATTTAAACCACAAACCATGGAGTTTCCATAACTAATTTTCATTTATAGTTTTGTGATGTTCAAACCTTTCAATGCAGTGTAATTTTCTATACAATTACTGTTTGTGATTTTGTGAGGTCTGTTGATCACACTGTGCTGTGGTCACGGTTTGGTTTGAGCTTACAGTTTTAGTGGTCACTAGAAACATTAAAAATGCCAGGTGGAGCCAAACCTGGGGGACATACATACAAAGTGGGACATACAGCTCAGGATCTATGTCTTCCTTGACACCGTTGAAGAAGGTGGAAGATCCATGCAGAAAGCAGCTGTGGGAAAAAAAGAAAGTTCTTGACTGCTTAGATGATACAGATCTGCTTTAGTTCTGAAAGTCCGGGTTTAGGTTTCAGGGAAAGTTCTGTTACCTATCCAGATGTTACCTATTCCAGATGTTCTAGAAGTGTTTGGTACCTCTAAACAGTACAATCTCACTAGGTTCAGTGCCACTTGCCTCAGTGAGTCCTGCAGGCTCTGCCTTCACATGTATTTCCTTTTTGACAGTTCTGAATTTACCTGCTTTCAACTTCACTGTATTAAAGTGAGATAGGATAGGATACAATTCATCTATCCTGCTTGTTATCTCGCCACTC